CCCCTCGGTTGGGACGTATAGTGAGCTGATGATGAATCAGTTTAATTCAAGTTGGCCGCAGAAATTGCCACTAAAAGCCGATTATTAGATATTTTTGTACACTTTAAACATGGGAATCAAATGATAGGTTTTGACTAATAGAATACAGGATACTTTGCCTAATGGAACGCCGTCAAAAATTACTGCAATATTGCGTACAATTTAAGCATATGTAACAGTCAGTTACTATTTCCTTTACTTTTCCTTAACTTCATGCACACGTTAGTGTCCGTAAATAACATTGGCAAACATTAAAATTTTAGGACTCTTGGTTCGTTGTTGTTGTCCGATATTAAATACGCAATCCACATACTGTATTCAAACTCCGAGCCAAAATAGAACACAGTTATCAACAAAAAACAAAAATTATATGATAAGGAAACAAAAAATAATACATCCCTTGCAATACTTTTTGACAGAATATATTATGTAAATAGTAAAGCAAAAAATAGTAGAGCTTTTTAAAGAAATTACGCAAACGGAATAACTTGAAATTTGACACAGTTAAAATGAAAGTGGAGAAATGCAAAAAGATATTTCTAAGTTAAAGTAAGAAAATAAATTGTCAGATTTCGACCAAATGGCAACCATTAGTTTTTACTATGTAATGCATATAACATATATTAAAAATATCCTAATGTTAAAATGCGATATCAGTGTATTTATTTATTTATTTGTTTTACTTCAACAATATGTTACATAATATATTACATAATATAATTATTCTACAGCCATGTTATTACCTCAGTACACTGTATTGGATGAACCTATGCGTATATAACGGCATACGTTCAAAATATAGTTCACCGAGGTAATATATACAACAGTATGAAGATGGAAGATATATGAAAACCCATAAAATTTTTATATTATATGTCTTTATAAGTTTATATTGTATATAGAAATAATATATAAATAATAATAATTTATGTTTGTCAGTGTATACAAATGAATACTAAAGTCATTTCGATTAGCAAAGCCCACTTTGTTAAAAGGAACATTTTAAGTTGTTCTTATTAAATTTAGAAAACCCTTGGCATAATACTTATGGTGATGTTATATCAAACAATGATAAAATCTCACTCGATGTTATTTTTAATACACTAAAATTATCTCGTGCTATAAAACGGATTTCATAATTCACCCTCTATTATAACCTACTGCATGAACAGTATTACCAGCCGCGCAGGGTACGGATGCGCAAGAAGTTATTAGGATTAGAAGTATTAGGTTATGCAAAGGAAAATATTGTTACCCGCGCGATTTTTTTACTAGCCACAACTCATAGTGCATTGTTCTAAATAGACTTTATTGCCTTTTTCTAATAATTACAGATAAAATTTTATTTGTGCCCGACATACATGACCGTGCCTGCCTTGCGGACAATTGGATTTCCGGTTATTTCCTTGGATAGTTTTAGATTGTTCAAATTGCGTATTCATTGCAATGGTACAACCTAAAATGTTACCAGGTTATTAACACACGTCATCATGTGAAGAAATATAAGTAGTAACCGGCCAGTTACAACTTAGCAACGCAGCCGACGCTGATTTATTGTTTCCTTGGCACATTTTTGAGTGAACATATTTCTTATCTGATACAAATGGTCAAGCAAATATGCGCCTCGGTAACTAAATCAAACCACAGAATGAAACTGTAATATCAACAATAACTAATATATGGACAATTGGATTAACAAGAACTACAGATAATGTCTTGCCTATTATGTAGTTTCCACGCAACATTTTGGTTTGATTGCTTTTGCGTATACAGTAGCAACAGTACAAACTAATGTGTTAAAAGGTTACTTACAAAAGCTACAAGAAGACATAACATAATAGTGGCGATTAAACAATCGCATCATGAAAAATCGGAGAAAAATCAATGACTATCATGAAGAATCTGGCTACTGGAAACCTTATTAATATAAATGCAAAAGTTTGGTTGGATCGACGGATGTCTATTTAACTCCATAAATTGCTATAGATTACAGTCTAGAATAGCACAAAGGCTAGAGACTCGGTTTTTATAAATTTCACGTGACAGTTGACCCAAGCGATTGCAAGCCTGATTAATATCTAGCTTAACTGTTGTCACCATGATTTTTTTTAGCAAAAGTTGAAACTAAATAGAACATTGTTTAACAGAACGACAGAGAAGCACGGTGGTATCATTTCAGAAGACATATATTACAGTTTATTCATCACTTGCTGTCGTCTGCGCCTCTGTCCACGCGGAATTAAAATAACTAGTAGCCAGTCTATGTGTTCCTCCACACTATGTTTTACTTTCAAGCCAAATTTCATAAAGATCCCTCGAGGAGTTCTGGATATACCTTCAAACAAGCATCCATCTAAATTTTCGCATTTATAATATTAGTAAGATTGTTTTTAAATATTTTAGTTTTAGGTTGCAATTTTTTTACGTCTAAGTACAGTTAATGTGCCTTAAAATGTTAAGCATATATGTAAATATTGTGACATGTGATGTGCGATATATTTGGACTAAGCGATTCCTGCTCTAACTACATTTAGGTACATTAAATATTTCATAATAAATCGTGGTCGCCATTGCTCTGAAATTTGACAATAATTGATTAATAATCAAGGTTTTTAGTAACTAAAATTAACTGTGTCAAATTTTTCATCCGTTTACGAGAAGTGTGGTGACGGAGTCATAATTTTACTACACTTTACTTTCTTATCCTTTCCTATGGTTAGGGGGTAAGGGGAAGTGGATTTGACGGAGGAAGGATTGCATAAGAAGGAGAAATATTTTTATTCTGTGCGCTTGTGTCGAAAAAAGTAAACAACGCAATTGCAATCGTGGATGTCTTTGGCGACATGACACTTCTTTACACAAGGAGACTTGAGAGTTGTTACTTTTGAGAGAATTGACTTCAGCTCGCGTTTTATTTTTGAGTCTCGACTTGTAAAAATAACTAAAATACAACCTTTCTTTATTGACCTAAGGAAAAACCTTAAGTTTTTCTATTAATTACCATCTTAATTATTAAAGCCGCTGGCGCAGCAACCGAAAACGGATCTTGGCCTTCGACACAAGAAATCGTCCAATTACCATAACCCTTGGTAATACGCTACTGTTATTTTGTCATTCAATAATGTTTTACTACATGTTTTGAGCTGGACCGTCATCAGCAAAGACTCGAGGTAAAATGCTATTGGGGACATATTATTTCAATGCAATGAATAAAGAAGATCATTCGGAAGAACAAGTTGTGGTAACTTGCATGATGACGTCGTCTTTTTTATCGGTAGGTATTAAACGTTTAAACCAAAAAAAATAGTCAAGAAATATTTAAGTCATCATCATCATCATAACTAGCCTAAATTTGTCCACTGCTGGTTGTAGGCCTCCCTCATCGATTGCCACAATGCCCGGTCCTGTACCGCCCGCATCCAGTGCACTCCCGCAACCTTGACCAGGTCATTGTGCGGGAGGCCTACCTACGCTGCGTCGACCCGTCCGCGGCCGCCACTCAAGGACTTTTCGTCTCCATCGGCCGTCCGGTCTCCGGGCAATGTGGCCGGCCCATCGCCACTTCAGGTTTGCAAGTCTTCGGGCAATGTCGGCAATATTTAAGTAGTGTTTGTTAATTGATTTATTTATTATATTTCAGGTTAGTGCAAATTGGCAACATTTATATTATATGTTTGGCACTCACCGTGTACGGCGGATACATCACCAATGACGTAGCGGCAGTTTTATAATCCCCTAATAGTATCTCAAAATTGGTATGTTTGCGTATTCAAGTGCAAATACCAAATTCGAGATACCTTTAGGGTATTACAACAACATAACATCGGACATCCAAAAGTAGAAAAGCAGTTGATATATTTTTAAATGTGTGTCTTTTTTATTGATTTTTTTAACATATAGACCGACCAAGTTATGTGACCCATTGAGCAAAAGTCGAACTACATTACTTCAATAGCTGGCATTGTCAAATAGTCTATCCTATCGTGGTTTTATGTTTTAAGTGCATATTTTCTGGCAGAACTACTCAATTGATTTTAGACCTTTACTTTGAATAATATTTAATACGAGGCGGCGGGTTCATGTTACCTTAGCCTTTATTAAGTACATTTCCTTGGTTGACACTATTCACAATAAACAAGGTGAGCCAAATTATCTTCATCAATTGTATGAATGGTCTCCTAACGATTTCTCAGCTTTTGTATTTTGTGTAGCCTATCACAAATTCTTGAGAGAAGTTGTTATAAGGATGTGCTTTAACACACTTTAGATGAGATAAAAATGTCTCCGCGATTGAACAATGCCGGATCTATGACAATTTTCTACAACAGTGCAACATATTTAATTAAAAATGATATTTTATTATTATAATAGGGTTGTTAATAACTTTTCTCCGTCTGGGTGGTTTATCGAATTATTATTATTTATAGTTAATTGTGTTTAATATTTTCTATAATGTAATGTAATAATAATTTTGTAATTTGACTTTAATCACAACAGGTTTCCCAATGGAGATATGTCGAATATCATAATGCGCAGCAGTTCTCTGAGACATTTCATTGTTAGTATTTTCGTATGCCCATAGTCAAATACTGAGGCTGAGATGTCTTCAGAATACTGCTGTTGTAATAATCAACACAACCAGATCCAGAGAAGATGGAATAATACAAATTTAAATTGAGATATATAATTACATGTGCAACTGCATGTGTGTGTCCGAGGAAGTCAATTTCTCCATTAGGTACTTTAATTTGTCGTCATACTTTGATTTGTCGTGAAATATCGAAAACAGGTACTCGCTGCTGCCGTTTTGATGTATATTACGGTTCGAATATTTGATAATTTTATACAAGTATCGTAAAATTTTAATTAAAATCAAAACCAATTATTTTAATATGAACAATGAGTTGCGACTATTACTAATTGTTTAATTTTCCTTTTTGGGGGGAGTGCAAGTTAGAAATGGTTGGCACTCACCGCACACGGCGGGGTGATTTCAAAATAATTGGAGCCGTGTGCCTTCTCATATTTCCATATTGAAGTGTGGGAAGTGATAAAATAATTAACGTAAATGCTACTTTTTTGAACTAATAATACAATGACCTTTTCAGAGACAGGAATATAGTAAAGAAAACTGTGTGTCAAAACGGAAGGCTTCTTCTTCAACCGCGCTTACGAAGCTAGTACCATTTCAAAGGTAAGTGAAATAGTATATATAATTATGTTCAATTCTTCGTCCAATGATATTTTGAACAAGGAAGAATAAAAAGTTCTCATCTATACATATATGCAATTGCACAACGAAACAGATGTCCAATGGATGTCTTTATTAGCTGATTTTATTAAGCACTAATGATTTAGGTTAGCAGATAATTGATGCCGCCGATGAAACATTGTAACTCCTATAAGTATAAACATTGACGTAGTCGGGACTAGGGTCGTGAGAGTAAATGTCAATTTTGCCATATATATTATTATACTTACCGTAGTCACATGATAAACCATCCCAATTTTTGTCGACAGCCCTTCTGCGACGTAGCCTGCGCTACAATATCGACGTGATGCTACGCCGTAGCACAGTGTTCAAGATCCAGTAACTTCTTAATCTTTTCTCTAATTTAACTACCTGCGTTTTTGTTTAATATTAATACTTATTTGATTATTTTTCTGATATTTTGATATTTTATTTCTTACAGCTTATGGGTTTCCCATTCATTCCCCTTATATGTACTAATAAATATTTTTTCGTTCTTGAATATGTATGCATTTTAGGTTAACATATTTTCATGGACTGGTTATTTTTGGTGTCCTTAGAAACTAGTTAATCTATGTAGTTTACGTTTCCTTAGCAAACTCGGCGATTAAATTGTTCACTAAGTATACTAACATAATAGCACAGTAACATCGAGAGAAACGTTTGCACGTGAGATGACGCGGGGTGCCCTTAACATCTTTGTGAAATCTAGCTATCTGCAGCGACTGACGACGCGAGCATCACAGACGCAACGCACTTAACCACATTGACCTCGCCCATGTGTTTCTACACTCGATTTGCACTTCGGAATTTCAGTATGAAGATCATCTTGATGTAGAACACATGGTTGAAGTTCACGCTCAGATTGTGCATCTCAACTAGTTGTCTACGCAGCCAACACAAGCATCTCAGGTATAACACACGTTTCGAAACCATAGGTAACTTGAAAGAAGTGAGAACTAAAGCTCCGTTAATTATAATTATATAATTATTGAATAAAGGCTTCTACGCCACGAATAATGACAAAGGTTATTTGAGGACTATTTTGTTAAGTACTAAAATTTATATCTGTTTGGTGACCCACAACTTTCATTTCATAGGACTACATTCTGTGGACCCAAACGTAAGGACTGGCATCAGATTTCACCGAGGGCATGGCGAGGAGACTACACGGCTTAATAATGGTGGTCCCAGACATGCAGCAGCAGCGTACGACCTAAACAAAGTCTTCATACGTGGTTCAAAGTAAGTGTAATCTGTTAAAAGAACTCGAATCAAAACAGCAATATCATCTTCATTAGGGTTATTGTTGCTGTCACAAACTAGCCTGAATAACATTTAACTAAGCTTCATTAGGTTGAGATACCGTTTCGTATATTATTTCGTATGAAGAGGAGTACAAAATAATTGCTTAACATGAAGTTTTTCTATTTCGACCGCGGAGAAATATAAATAGGTCTAGATCGAATACTGATTACAGCCCATATACTCTTTGAAACAGCTTTGATGAGACAATGAATACGACTGTTTTGTTTGTGCTTCAATGTTAATGATATTCGAGGTAGGTACTAGTCATTCCTACCGTTAAATTGTGTGTTATATTTCAGCACAATCCCTGTAGTCAGCGCTACGTGACTTCGACGACACCTGGACATGTCGCATCACAGAAACACCGTTCTGTAAGTACCTTTTATTCATCTTAAAAATTAAAAGTTTCAAACGCTTATGACAAAGTAACCTATTAAAAATTTACTTGTATTTTGATATTTCCTATATTTTAAATAGGAATACAAAGCAAACTTTCTAGCGTTTTACAGTTTACTTGGTTGATACAATTTCTACGTTATAGGTTATCGCGGACCAATCATCTGCGCAATCTGCGCCATCACTCGGAGATGCCTTGGAGTGAACGTCTCGCCTTCGACAGATTGACGATTCGGCGGCGCCGGCGCCTAGTGAACAACTCGCTCAACTCGTGGGCCGCATGCCGTCAATTGGTATTATTTACGATTCTAATATTGTTACAGCAAGTTTATAATATGACAGTTCACTAAGTAATCAACATATTTTCCTCATAATTCGTTATTTCTTTATTATGTTACATTGTATTTCCCGCCCATTGAATTAGTTTTTCTTGGCGAAAATGTTCAAAATAGTCATTAACTATTATCTTTTTTTCAAATTAAAATAATTAAGATAGTATATTTATAACTTGTTAGATAACATCCCTGTGTACATTATGCTTAATATGTTTTATTATATAATAATATAAAATGTTGTTAGAGAAACTATTTACAGTTAAAGAAAGGGTCCGGAGGATATCTTTGCTAAGTGTTTATTACCTGGGATCACTTTATTTGATGTTACATTGTGTACCATTCAATTGGCATCAATTAAAGTATTCAAGGGTAATTACCATTCTCAGTCGCAACATCATTACTATATACTTTAGTGCAAGTTAATTTCAACATTGTTGAGGCTATGTACATAACAAAGAAGACAGGCTAGTTAAACTAAAATGTTGTAGTTACCTCAAATTATTTTTATTGATGTTATATTGCGTTTCAGACGAAATAACATCAGATTAATTGTTTGAGGGTACTATCGCAATGCCAGCGACAGAACAACTACAGTGTACTTTTCACTTGTTATTCTATGTCAATTTTTATCTGAACAGTATATCATTGTACTTTTTTTATATTTGTAAAAATTAAGTGGTATGAGAATGGTATTTGTGTTAAGAACTAACTGGTGCTCACGACACCGTCCGCACGGAATAAAAAAAAACATGATTAGTAGCCTATTTATTCTTCCAAACTATGTTCTATATGTATGCCAAATTACATCGAGATCCGTTCAGCTATCCATCCATCCATTCATCCATCTAAACATCCGCATTGATATTATTATTAAGATAAACATGGATGAATTGCGTCACGAAACTTATCTGAATCTAAGTCGGGTAATTTTAAAATTTTGTTCGTTAATTTCTTATTTACGTAATGATTATGTAATGCATGTTATGTTCTTGTAAAATAGTTATAAGCTAGTGGATATACAACTTTGTATGTATTTGTTATTATATAACCTTGGATATATGCGTTAACGACGCAATAACAATACTTGAGGAGTGTTAAGGTTACAAATACACCAGACAGAACATCCATATGGGTACCAAAAACTAGAAGACATTGTAAAGTGTTGTCTTTATTTCTTGTTTAATATTTATAAGTAGTACAAAACTTAGTTTTAATACTTTGTTTTTATAATAGAAAAATTGCATTTTGTTTTCTAACTTGTACACTACTCGTAATGCCTAAATTAACTCCACAGATGTACTTATTATTGTTACATGACCTGCTTGTAAATTGTTATAATGATAATAAATAATTTGAAAATACCGATGTTTTAATTATTTACATTTTCCTCTTATTATCACAGAGTAAATCTTATTTATGGAACGAACACAGGTAGAACACTACTATCCAGATGAAGTATTATATTAAATTAACTGATCCTGAGTCCTAGAAACTTGATATTTTGCATAGAGGTTTCTGTTACTACTTTGGCGAGCACTAAGATACGATATTAAGAAATTCAACTATGTGGCGGTCTGAAGTTTGTATTGCTATGTGGTTCCTTTTACACAATTATTTAAAAATTGACATAAACACTTTTACAATAAATAATTAAGTTCTTGCTTAGTACTGCTCGTATACGTTGAAACAGAAACCACTAATCAAAATTAAACATAAACGATTATAAGTTATTTGTGAAACCAATCACAACATGGTTATATGTGAATTATCATAAAATATAGGCTTTATTACGAAACTCGATAAGGATAAGTCGACAACTTTGTATCTTAGGCTAGATCGAAACGAGTCCGAAATTAGACTACAGCAATGACCTTCATGCATCGACAGGCTATCAGCCGTGGTTTTTTTGTACCTATTTGAATTTTGAAAATTTGGAGCTATAGTCAAACAAAGATAGATAAGATAGAGAATAGATGGGCCTGGCCAAGCACGAAAAATTTAAAAAAGAGCCGGTAGTATATATATCGACAAAATTTATATAAAAACTAGCGGACCCGACAGACGTTGTCCTGTCTACACGTCTTTAATTTGAAAATTTCAAACTTTTTTTAATAAGCTAAAACATTCTGGACAAATTCGAATATTATTTAAAATTTGACACTGCGATGGTAGCGCCTTCTGTCGGATCCAATGTAAAACATACCAAAATGAACAACTACTAATAAATTAAAAATTAATTAAAAAAACATTGTCCAGCGGACAAAATTGTGAATCTAAACCATTCCCATATCCCCTTGAACACACACAAAAAATTTCATCAAAATCGGTCCAGTCGTATGAGAGAAGTTCAGTGACATACACACTCACAGAAGAATTATATATATAAAGATTGTGCAGCGCCCTATCGGGCGCATAGAGGACGCCAAAAGTCTTATAGTTTTGTTGAAATAATTGACGGTGAAAAACGAAGGCGCTTGTCGTAAGTAATCGTGCTAGGCCTACTGAACCATTGAGAGGCGCTGCTATGGCGGTTGTTGCCTACTTAAACATAGAAAATTACATGACAGTTACTGAAAAATTTGATCTTGAGACATTTTTTGACGTTGACAGGGGGGCGCTAGTGAGCTGTCAAAAGGCGTTAGTTTGGGTTATACCCAACGATTCACAGCTTTGTAGATCTATAAAAACAAAGATAGAATTAACTGTAAGGAACTATGACAGACATTTTAAATCGGAACGAAACAAAAGCTGTCAATGAAGCCAAGCAGCAACCAGTTCATATGTAACATATGTATACAAAATAATTACTATGTGGAATCTAAATCAAAAATCTAATTCAGTTTCATTGATCTTTATAAATGGATGTGTTGTGTCTTGGAAATGACAGCTTCTGCTTCGTTTTGACTTAACGCGCCTGTGGAAATTCCTGTCAGTTAATTCCATCTCTGTTATTAGTTCAAATCCTTACTTATTATCCTTATGAACAGCAACTGTTAGCGCCAAATTGCCAAATCAAATATGCACAAATTACCTCGATTTGTAGCCTATCCACCAGCCGTCAGTAAACCGTCAGTGTTCAACAAAGAGTATATAAATTCAATTTTAATTGTTACTCTTTGATCGTTTTCTTTCACTCATTCACTCAGTAAATTCAGTCTATACTTACTACTCTTTGACTCAGTCAGTTCATTCGTCGATGTCGAATTAGTTCAAATTCGATCGCAGATCACAATTTTCAGTTTCGTGAAGTGTCGTACCGCTTCATGATTAATTTTCATCAGTTTGTGCGATCAGCAATGAGCTGCGGATATTAACATCATAACAAAACCAAAAAAGAAGCTCACGAGTGTGCAAGATGGAGGAAGATATGGTAGATAATAGTACAGTTCGCATTATTATTAAAGACGAAGATTCAGTCCTTGAAAGGTCAGCCATTGCAAACGAACAAGATTCGTGTTGGCCTGAAAAAATGATGCGGTGCATATATAATTTAGCATCATACTTCCGGAAGCCAGATATAAAATGTGAAAACGGTAAGTCATATAATGTATTGATTGATCTCCCTAGGTACCGCAGGATGCAACTCCCGGCGCATTCAAGGTCGCTGCGCCACGCACGTTTACAAGGACGCAGCTTCATTGATTTTCTATTTATAGCCTCCCAATATCTCAATATGCTCTATTACATAGATTATTATGTTACATACGTTTAAATGTTAAAAATTAAAGATTTTTACGGAACTATTCGTTTAAACACCATATTTGTATCTTAAATATAATTTATGTTTTTTATATGTTTACTACGCTATTCTATTCCATGGGAACCATACATTTTTTTAAAGAAAAGTGGCCTATGTGCTTTTGAAAGGAGACTGTAGGCTATTGTGCACTTACAAATGAAAAAATCTATATTTGTACCAAACTTCAGCCATTTTTATTGTTGCTAGCTGTTAGTTTTTTTTATTTTTTTAAGCAAGTTATAATCTTTGCAGAAGAAGTTTGGGAGGTTCCTTATGAATCTATTACTGACCATGTATACATTGGATCTGGAGCCCAAGGAGTAGTATACAGGGGTATATTGCGAGGAGAGATGGTGGCTGTCAAAAAGCTCACAAAAAAGTCAGAAACTGATATCAAACATCTTAGGAAGTTGAACCATGAGAATATTGGTGTGTATTTTAAATTGAAACCAATGTGAATTATTTAGTGCAATGTTTTGTTTGAAAATTTCGCTTGATTTCTTAAACACAAACTAAAATCTCTTGTAAGATTTGACTTTTTAACTTAATTTCATTAATGCATCATGCATTCACATTAAACTTTTAATATTGTATTTTGGGCAGTTCGATTCCGTGGTGTATGCAGCGAGCCACCATACTGCATTATTATGGAGTACTGTCAGTATGGACGTCTGTTTGAATTCCTGCATAGTGGCGTCAGTTTCACTCCTAGCCAGATTCTGAAGTGGGCTAAGGAAATTGCCCAGGGTATGAGCTATCTTCATAGCCACAAGATTATACACCGTGACTTAAAAAGTCCCAAGTTAGTGTACATTTATTTAAAATCTAAATTAATTTATTTCTCACATTGACCAGACAGTGATATTTTAATTATTTTGTTTTAGTCTTTTGATTGCGGATAATTTAGTGGTGAAAGTTAGCGACTTTGGTACTAGTCGCGAATGGAATGATGTTAGCGAGATAATGAGTTTCACAGGCACGGTGGCTTGGATGGCACCGGAAGTGATACGCCATGAGCCATGTTCTGAGCGGGTTGATGTATGGTCATATGGTGTTGTATTGTGGGAGTTGCTCACTCAGGAGGTTCCTTACAAGAGTCTTGAGACTCATGCAGTGATGTGGGGAGTCGGAACTGACACTATTTCACTCCACATCCCATCCACCTGCCCGGACAGCCTCCACTTATTGCTGAACCAGTGCTGGAGTCGCATACCACGTAACAGGTAAGTGTCTGTTGACCTTATTGATTTCTATATCTTATCTAAAATTAATGTCATTATTCTTATTTTCTTTTTTGTATGCAGGCCACCATTCAAGATCATTTTGGCGCATTTGGACGTTGCTGGTGATGAACTGAACGCAATGTACTTGGACCGCTTCAGCGAAATCCAAAGTGGTTGGCGACAGGAAGTGCGCCATAGCATGGAGAAAATGTATGCAAGGTGAATATGCTTAGTATAAGTAAAATACCAGATGTGATGTTAATAAGCTGCATATAACATTAACCATATAATATGTTAAAATCTTAATGTTTATATCTAATCTCAATATCATAATTTTTTTATTAAAAGACCCGAGCAGCTGCAAGCGCAAGAGGCAACCAAGCGTCGCGAAGAAGAGAAACAAGCTCGCCGAATGTATGAGAAGCAATTGATGCGCGCTAACGAACTGTACATGGAGGTGTGCTCCGTCCGCCTCCAGCTGGAGCAGCGTGAGAAGGATATTGCCGAGTGAGTGCTTCATCTATATTCTTTCTACCATCTAATATTAACTAAGTGTAGTCTCAAGTATTTTGGTGGGGATGTGGGGATACTAAAGTAGACATATTTACGTAATTTATATTTAATAGACTTTAAATTATATATTTCTAAACAGGCGCGAAAAAGCTTTGAAGAACTGCCACTGCAAATCACGCAAGAAGTTTAAGCAGTACAATCGTCAGACGTCTACGTCATCTGATGGAGTGAAGGTTCCATCGCCATGCAAGCAGCCCAACAATGATGCTCTGCGCCGCCGCAAGAAGAAGCAGCCGCAGCCGAACCCTCACGCTCAGGTGCTGGTGAACCTTGTCAACTCGGAGACCGTGTCCATCGCAGTTCTTGATGACCGCACTGGCTGCGAATGCGACAACATCATTGACAACAACAACATTGAAACTATGCTGCCGATGAAAGATTCCTTTGTTGAGGCCAATGGCAATGATGTTAAGGACATTGCCTGCAATGTTCACTTCAATAAATTGTCCCTCGTGTAAACTCACTTTTAAAGTCTATTCACATTTTGAACAGCTCTATGCGGCGGCATAACATTTCTCATTCATATGTATGTCATTGATTATTTACTTAATATAGGATATAACAGTATTAGTACTGTTGATGCATTTTCAAAGTAAATCACTTGCATCTCTTTTCTGTATTTAATGTGTTTGTATGCCATTTAGAATGGTTCTAACTTAGAATATGACTTTGATAAGGCACTTGTGTGGATTTCTACGTTCTTATAGTGAGTTACACTGGCCTAAAAGTTTACCTAATTATTTCAGTATTATTTGTTGATATTATTATTTAATTTCTACTTTAGTTCCTTAGTTTTTATATTATTTTGTTGATATGAGTTGAATCTATGACGAATGAAAGGAAATTCATTAAAAAATGGGTAACATTCCTATGACAAGTTTTGTACTTTTTGGGATCAATTCTATATTGCTATTTAAAGAAATAGAGGCATTTCTGCCGTATTTATTTGGTATAATTTATTTTGTGTTTACAAGAGCTTTTCTATTTTATATGAATAAAAATTATTTTTGTACTGTGGTTTTCGAAGCAGAAATTGTTACAAGGGGGGAATTTTTTATAGAAAAATAAAATTGGTTTTGCAAACTGGAAGACATGGTATTAGATTACTCGGCTGTAACAATTTTTGTCTGGAACAAAGAATGTGTGAGATTTACAAAGATAGAAGTATTACTTCGAGTTAAGAAAACAATCTCAAAATATTTCTAATAGTAAAAAATTTTTTTATGTCTTTATTTTTACTTTGTATTTTTATATTTTTTTTTAAGTATTTTTTATTATGTCATTCCTAACTATTCTGTCTGAAATGCAAATTATATAATATATAGCTGCGTGTTAAATGTTAGTAATAAATAAAAAAAAATTGATGTTTACTGTTAAGAAATAAAAGTTAATGTTTCACCTTTGAAGAGATGTGCTTAAATTATTTTCTTTAGCTTATTAGATGATATACTAAAGGCAGTATAGTTAGCAGCGGCAAATGATTATGACTTAATTCTATTACATAAGTAGACTCAAAATAATAGACTGTATCTAGTCTGAACTTTTGATGAATCTTTACTGTTTACGATATTCTTCTTAGAAATGAAATGTACTATTTTTGATCTTAAATATTATAATAGATGAAATAAAATGAACACATAATTGATGTTTCTTATATAATTATTAATGTAGTAGTATAGTAAAGTTCAGTAGAAGTAATTTAGATGTTGAAATAGAATTACATATATATTTCCAATTTACATTAAATATTATAGAATAGTCCCTTATGTAATTCATGACGATTATACTGTTTATATAAACGATTACGTTAAAGTGAAAATATCCCAATAGATTTAGACTTAATTTCTTCTCTGTCTATCAAAATTATATACATTCCAAAATCTTTACAATTTTCCAGCGCAGTGTTTTATTTAAGTGTCTATGCTCAATTTTTTCTCTCGTCACTTAAATGTCTAGTCATAAATTAGTCTAATTTAAATATTTTGTGTAGTTTTAGACAATGTAGATTCAATTTATCGAATAAAGATCTCATGAAAAAATGTTATTGTTTGATTTCAAAGTGCATTAAAATCCCTAAATTTTTATTTGACCCAAAACATCGATATTGTTACTGTTTCTTCTTTGTGGTGTTAAGACAATGAAATTTTGTTTGACAAAACTTTTGATACAAGTTCATTCTGTTTGACAATACTATCTTACATCTTGACAATAATAACATATAAATTTTCCTTGAAAATATATCAAACACGTCGAGCAAAGGTAAATCGTCGATTAATATAACAGATATTATAAAAGAAAGTACTTAACTTCAGCTATAGTTTGAATAATAACAAAAGATTTTTTTTCTTTTGCGTAATTATTACTCAATTTTAAGGGAATTCTTCCGCAGAGAACAGGTAGTTTTAAATACAGTCCACGGCAGCATTTACTGCTGCACGAATGATACGTTGATCGGTGCATTACCACGGCCATACAGAAGGCAGGTTTAAAGTGGAAGTATTTCTGCGTTACATTTGATGAGTTTGGTATCATAATCTAAATTCAATTCATCACATTTACAAAAGGTGCATAGAAATTAATAAGCAAGCAAGAAAAATAGTATTTATTAATTTATATGCAAGAAAATAAATACATCTACAGCTCAATTATATTATTTTATGTACAATATACATAAAAATATATTAAATAATTTTCAATCGTTTAATTAACACGATGAACAAGATCAGCTGTTTAAGTAAGAGAAGAGTGATGATATTGGCGAAATATTTGCATCGTTTGAAATTCGGGCTGCGCATGCTACATTTTTTAGTATTATTTATAGAAAGTCTGCGGGCGGGAGTCGGCGCGCGCACTCGGTGTGGCGCGCGCGGGCCGAGAGCACTGGAGCCCCATGGAGCCCCCAGCGTTCCCCGCCGGCGCCGGCGGCCTCCAGACCGTGAGGGCTGCGCCCGGTAGTGACGCCGACCTTGTACTCCCTCCGCCTAACGGCACACCACCTTTCCACTACGTATGGTATGTTCTATTTCTAGACAGAATTTCCCTAAATCGTAAATTTGACTTATACATACAGCGTGTTTTATTTTATATGTGTTTGGTTATGGTTAATTTCTAGTTAAATCGTCACAGCTGACTAAAATCATAGCGGTTTAGATTTGCCGGGACGATTTTGAGATGTATGACTAAGCTCATTGAGTGCACAGTGATTGACGTATGGCTGGAGAGCGTTCGCGTCGCGCCGGTAAGCGTTGTTTATTTTTCACACGTCGAAGCGTATAAATACAGACCAGGAAGCAGGTCATCACAGATATTCGATACTCAGTCCCTCGTACAGTATTGTTATATTACATGTTTCAAATAGAAAAAATTATAAAATGATTTGGGGTAAAAATGATGAGCCGTGACTGGGAAAGATTCTGTTATAATGAAAATAAATGTCAGGTGTGGTTTGATTTTTTAACTTACGTTTAACCAACATTTGCGTAAACATTCAACGAATTTTTTTTTCTATTATCAAGTTTAGGAACAGAAAATATAGAGCTCGATCGTCTATAGTCGATAATTTACGTGTACCTTCACTTGTAGAACATTTATTCAAAATTTTAACTGAATGTTGAACGTTAAATTCAGTAATTTGTTTTCAAATATAATAATTTATTATCATTTTGAAGATGTTTAAGCTCGCGTATTTTGTATTTATATTTAGTTAATCCCTAAACATAATGTAACTAAATTTAAATGATCGTAGTACGTAGTATTGGAATAATAACCACTTTGTTATATCAAAAATTGTAAAATTTATCCCTACATACCTGAATTACTTCTTACCAAAAATAAATTTGAGGTTATCAGGAACGTTGCTATTAGCTCGTTAGCCGTTTGCCATCTGGTGACATAATAGTAAACTAAAAACTAATGTGCTATCTCTAAACATATTTTGATCACGCCATCTATCAGTGGATTTATGAAACTTTAATAAAATATCGATTTTTTTTTAATAATCTACTCAATAAAATTGGTTTCTTTTGTTATAAGATAAATCAAAGAGTTCTTACTGTCCTGTTTCGATCATTTTCGGTAAAAAATCTGTGTATCGGACTACCTTCCTTCACTTCTATAAAAATATAAATACCTTGATAAACCTTAATGAAAGGGGATAAAAATTTATTAATAACATAGATTATTAATAGTTTATGCAAATAAGTAGCTTTTCTTATTGTGTCATATAACTAAATGAGCATTTAAATATCAATTGGTTTTTTCATCTTGAAATTACTTGTTAAACATTTTTGATTATTGTCAATTGTCGTATAGTGAACGCGTCTTCGATTTTTTTCTAGACAGCCTAGATAGTAACGAGAAAAATAATCTTAGTTTACTGCAAGGAATAATCCATCTTACATCTCATAATGTGGCGTCACACGATAAACAAATAGCGGCGCTGGCATCGCACCTACAGAAATATCTGGCGGCTCGCAGCGCGCACAGTCCGCGCCCGCGCCTTGCCATCGCGAACTCGAAGCGAGATGCGCTCCCGTCATGGGCAGCAATTGTTGTAAAGGCGACGCAGCTGGGAGACCGATCAAGTCAAGCTCCTCCATCTACAGCAGGTATTTGTGGCTGGCCATCTTCCTCGGCCAAGAGTTGCGCGGTGTGCCCTGGGTACTGCGCGCGCTGACACCCTGGCCGTACGTAGTGTATCATCAGTGCTGTCTGCTCGGCTGCACTGCAGCACTGCTCCCTCAGTCAACTACTGTATTAACTGTTGCCAAATATTATTCATTAAAATGTTCTAAAACACACGTGAATTGTAATAATAATCATTTTACATCATCGTAAATCACGCAGGCCGTTATATGTTTTTCATGTAGCATTTCGCATTGATGTCGTGTTAGTTGTTATTGTTGCTTCAATGTTATTTATGTATTAAATAAAAAACGGCTAACAGAATTACGTATTATTTAAAACTATTTTGGAACAAAAATTAACGAAACATTAAATGTGGAATAACAGTAAAAAACTTCTGTATATATTATGTCTAAATAATAAGCATCTTTATGTATTTAAATAAAAATTATTGTGCGTTCTAGGAATACTTTTTCATAATAATTTAATTAATCTATATTCTAGTAAAATTTATAAGTAATTAAGTTCATCAAGGATGTCCGGACTGGTGACCGATACCCTGCTATCGCGGTTACTTTGTCAGAAAATATGTAAAACCTACTTCAGTAACTGTACATGACATACAATAAAAAAAATCGAACAACATGACAAGTACGTACCTATCTTTAAAAAAAATCATCCATGATGGGGGCCACGGATTAATAACAACCAAGCTCCCCATAAGCGGCTGTGATGATTTTTCACAGAAGGCGCTATTGATTTATCATATTTAATTAAGTTTGACTTATGACCGGGACAGATAAAAAAAAGTCATTAAGCGTTAATTTAAATAAGCATTTATAGTGACACATTACGAACACAATGTTTAAACTTTTGGCACAGCGAACTTGTTTTACAATACTGATTGCAACAATTCGGTTTTTGTTCCTTCTTACACTATAATTTATGCTTATTTATTTATTTTTATGGATTAATTTAGCTATTTTTGTATAATAATTAACCTTTCCAAGACAACATCTTCGTTCTTTATTGTCGTTAAAGAAACAATTAAATTTCTTTGAATTATAACGAAATAAAAAATTATAAGAGTCACGCTCAAACGCTTCGCGATCGGCTGCTTTTGTTATTTCGTCTGCAAGTGCGTACCCCAAACCAAACACGAAGTAAGAAATACGAGTAATAAAAATCAATATTGTTTTTTTTAATGGCTTGTTTTTTTTATTTAAGATAAGAAAATGTTGAAGAAGAAATAAAAAGATTCTACATTAAAAAATGTTTAAGTATCTTTGGGCTAAACGATGATAAATAAGTATCAAGAGGAAGGACCTTGTATTCGTTTTCGCGAAGTTCAAGTGGTTTCTAAAAACAAGAAAGCGTTCTTCAGATTGTTGTTCGAATGTTCTTATGTACACACTAATGTGGGTTTCTTTACAAAACAACTGTTACCTATTTACTTAGTATAAGCAGGCATTTGATAACGCAGCTGGCTCTTACACGACGTCCTACATGTAGAGAGTAATGTGTCAAAATACATTGCTATAAATACACTTCGTAGAAAACATCTTGATTGTTTAAAAATAGGTTAGCGAATTTAAGCTGGCTAAACACTGTTTTGTATGTAAAATTACTGCGTATCTTAGATTGGCTCTGGATTGTCACGGAAGTAGGCTCCTTTACCACACTTATCTAATCGTCCTTGACCTTGAAAGATCGTTGATCCGTTTACATTACATTATATTACATTATTAGGTTATTATAATAAAAAAAAATCGTACAAATTAAACATAAGAATGCATTAAGTAAAAAATTCAAATTTGTTTTTATACCGAATATTATTTTTTAACACAAACATTTCTAAATAAATGTCCTTTATGTAAATGCACTTGTGGCATTGTTTACGACTCGTCCATAAAGTTAAACCGGTTGTTTAAAATTAGTTTAAAGTCGAAACGGGCAGTTAACTTGCACGTAAAATATATAAAACAAAAAAGAAAGCATGAAAATGCCTCGTAAACTGAAATGAGAGCGTAACAACATCCCGAATGACGTTGCAAGGAAAACAACATCGTTGCATGAAGGAAATTCTCGCGTTCGAAAGTCGTAAAGTTTGGGACTATGGTAATGATGTTGTTTTAAATTTATTTCTCTATTAGATTATCTAAAGAAGACATTAACTTTAAATATTTTTATTTATTTATTGATCCCGACTTGACGCAATAATTAAAAAAAAATAGACGACATCCTTAAGGTAATTTGTTTGAAGTTGTAAAAATATTTTTCAAACACTAGATATTCGTCAATATCGTAACATGTTTTATTATATAAAATTTATCATTACATATGAAAATGGAACTTATTACAGCCTGATAAGAAAACTGCTCATTGAATTTAAAATTAAAATTTTATTCGAGAGAGGCGCGGACGCGTCGAATGGTTAAAATACTATTCATAGACAAGCTCCGATTATTTTTAAACTGATCGTAGATGGAGACAATGATTAAGACATATACTTATTATTTTTTAAATCCGAAATAGAATCTGAAAACGATTAGGCAGTTTTTTTTTTATTTTTTGTCTGTATTTGGAATGCCATGAATCCGAATTATAATTTTACGTTACTCTTCAACTACTTTAAGGTAATATCTTAGATTTACACCGTAAATTATAAGAAATATTAATCCTTGATTTAAAATGATGTGGTTAATATAAATTTGAGCGATTCTCTAGACAAGTTTTGCACAAAAAATGCAAATTATCAAACATTCAGTGGGAAATTGGTTTATTATATGATCTGTTACGATTAGAGAGATCATCACAATTGATTCTTTTGATAATCAAAAGCGGTTTGTTTGTATAACCCGCAAGATGTTATGTCGAATTGTTAATATTATTTGTTAAGACTTTGCTAAGACCGAATCATTTAAATCTGTGATAGATTTTACCGAGTCGTTTTGTCTTATGCCCTTTGTCTAAAGTCCTTAGGTCTAAGGTTATTTCCCATCTTAATTTCCTCTTAGGCACATAAGTTAAATGGGTATTCCCAAAAAAAACTCTTTGATATTACAGCCGTCACAAATCGAACAGTTCTAAGAGAATACATGAGAAATGGTTCATCAGTTGACCAATACAATTATCACGCCCTTGTTGCTATTCAAAATAGATGTAATATGAAAATTAGACCAGACGTTTAGCTTTCCAAGACTAAATAAATGGATTATGGAGTATCAGTTTTACGCTCATAAAGATACTGACATACGTAAAGTAGCGATGAGTACAATTTTATCGACGAATCAATATTTGGACGACGACTAAACGATACCTATTCGTTAGTATTGATATCGAAGGTGGAAATATAGACTAGTACGATATAAACTTGCAGACCACGAACGTATTCATAAAGTAATAAATACTCGAATACTTTATCGGTGGTTTCAGAACTGGCCTTAACACATCAATTACTCTATTTATATATCGTCAAAATTTTCCGATATTTATTGAGCCATTCGAAATAATTTAATTCATCAAGTCTTGGTTATAACAATAGTTTGTTTAACGAATTTGAACAAAGTAATTAGGCTACGTATTTGGCCGCGGCATTGGCGTCTCGTAACTGTATTATTTTTAGATGAGAACTCGGGTGGACGCAGACGCTTTGTGAAAATATTGCAAACTTGATGCGCAAGGTCACGGGTTCTCAATCAAGTTTTCTCGTTTTAATTAATTAATTCCGAATGACAGTATCTCCTGATACGAAAAAGAACTTAACATCTTAATGTATTTAAAATAAAATTAGTCCTAGTTAGATTTACTTAAAAAAATTCACTATGTAACATACATATAAGTTATACACAGTATAAGTTTAAAATACTGCGCAGAATACCGCCCCCGCTTATTCTAGACCTTTCGTAAAAGTAGGTTGCGCGCGCAGATGTCCGCGCCGACGATGGATATAACTTTAGCCTGGGCTTTATTGATTACGAAGTACTTTCTAGAAACATTTCAAATTATTACAATTAATTATATATAGTATCGTCTACTACTGTCAAAGTGTCTCGAATATACTATCGTTATCTCAAATAAGGTCTAAGGTAATAAAAATTAAGTAATTCCCGCGACGTATTTAGTTTGTTTCGTTGTGCGCATGCCTGTAAAAATCAATTAGCCCAGACTATCTAGGATATGTACCCCTACGTACGAACTTACCTGCTTCGTTGGAACATTGATCGTTTTACTTAATAAATGAAGCGCGATAATTGATGTAACAGATTCACTCAAACACATGTCTAAATATTTTCACTTCAATAATTATGAAGATATTGCTCATACCTTATGAGTATTTTATTATAAACTCATGACGATATTTAATAATAGATTGAAATGAGAAATATTGAGTCACTATTTTCTTATGGAGACTCATTATACCCAATGTTGCCTGTTGTAATTGGCAAAGGCTCTCTCAAATTTTATAGAAATTTCAAAGAACGGGAAGATGACGCTCGATTGAATTCTTCTTTTTATAACTTTACTTAAAACATTATTTACATTAAGGAACTTTTCGTTTTCGCGATACTTATACCCTTAAGGTTTCGTTTACTTATCGCTTTTTGGACCCTACTCTCAAAGATCAATCCTCTTGATTGGTTGTGAAACTCAATTCAAGTGACGGCCTTTGCTTATATGTGCTTATGATTCGAAAAGATGACGTCTTTAGGTCTTTGTTTATTACTTTTGAAACAATTTAAATCATTGTTATCTATGTTAGTGGTTATTATCAGTTTATTAATATGCTTCTTATATGAATATTCTATAAAAAACGCAGAGCATATTGACCAAGCGAGCAGTTTCGTTTCTGGTTAGTCTTTGATTCCATTGTTACACGTGCGTGCGCCCGGGCCGGGAATAAATAAACCAGGCCTGACAACTGACATACAAACGGATGTTATTCTGATTATGCACTTTGATGAATTTCCATTAAAGATATTTTTAACTTTTTTTCTTGTGGAATGAAAATGAATGAGACCTCATAGTTGTTATCTGACTGACTCAGAAACGAAGGTTATGTTTTAGCGCGTATGTATGTGGTTTTGTAGGCAGTTGAATGACTGGACCGATTTTAACCAGACAGTTGACATTCGATTTAGATTTTTCTATTTATACAGTCAATTGGGTTTATTGATTTTTTTCATACTAACTAGACATATCAATTATTAATAAACCTTGTTGTTCTGCTAAAGCTTGTCCAAGTTTTGGTATAATTAACCTTTTGGAGTTACATTTTTAAATATTTATGTGAGTCAGTCGAATTATGTTATAACTACTTTATCAAGAACACAATTTAGTAGTTCTAATCTTTAACGTAATATAAGTAGTACCTAGTCACATTTTAGTTGGCATTGTTTATTGGAGTGGTTCCATTTGATCTTTGCTCTTTAATAATGTCACCACTATTTCCATGTATTTAAACAGGAATTAAAATGTATGATCTTGATGCTATTAGAAGAAATATCCATAATAAAGGCCGATGTTTTTTTTTAGCCGCTGGATATAAATTGATAGAATATTGGGATAGTCTTGACTGGATGAAAGTTTGTGCCATAAAAATAAAAAAAATCTGATCTTATTAATAAAAATAACCATGCGTTTTTATTCAATTGATTTTGAGATATGTCTAAACGAAAACGCCAAGCGCTTTCATTCATCAAAAGTCTTACATCACGCGTATTTAGAGTAACTATAAAAGTTTGCGTAATCTTCCGCCTAATCCTACTAAGACATGACGGAGATAGAAATATAGGCCAACATTACTTAAATACGTCATGAAAGGAAGAAAAAGCAGACTCTTATCATCTCTTTTATATATTTATTGTCTCTTGTCACAGAGAGAATTCAAACAGTAAAAAAAAATCTAACTAAAAAAGAAGAATAGTATTGGTTGTGAGTATTAGGCATAAAAAGAATCAGTTTTTACTATAATTTATGTTTTTAACAATAATGTTTATAAAATTAAATTAAAATGAGTTATATTATAACACATAATTAAAATTAATATGAACAAAATAGACACGTGATTTCTTCCTAACATTTTCTGCGTTCTATTTTCGCTTATGTAGTACACAACACACACGTGACCAAGGATTTAATTTATACTGGAATAGCATTTCGTTGCCAAAAATATAATGTTATCGAAAGAAAGAAAAATATATCCATATCAAATTTTATTTCTATAAAGATAATTATTTATCTTCTATCCGAGAGTTTTCACTACCTAACAACTTGTACAAAAAACGAAAGAGCTGAGCCTTAAAATTAAAGATGTTCATACGTCACCAGATATGAAGAAAATAGTATTCCAATTTGAGAAATGTAATATTGTATACCCCTAATTATTGTAGGCTCCGAGCCAAGATAAAGAAAAGTCGCACATTTGCGTAAGGATCAAATCTTCAAAATATTAACAAAAATATTTTTTAACATAATAATATAATTAGGTATCAGTATATCACTTTATCTAACGAGTTTATCAAAATAACTAAACAACTCCAATGTATGGAGTTTGATGTGCCTCTATTAATGTACGTAACTTCGGCTTTGGATGAAAACCAAGACAAAGGTGTATTAAAGTAGAAATCAAGTTATTGTCATACATACATATTAACTGATATTCTAGCAAGAGCACATCGCGTACGTCATACTTAATAGAATAGTCGTAGTAAATAAAGTCTTACATTTCCTAACTAGTCTTTTGTCTTAGAACAAGAGTATTTCACCTTTGTAACATAAAACCTGTACCTTTTAAAGCCATTGTTTTCTTCTAATGGCCGTCGCATCTATGTGTAACGGCCTCGTCTTGTGTTATACTATATTCCAGTCTTGAGAGCATTAATAATGAGTACTTATAAATGTTTTATCATGTTATATTTGTCTCGATATAAAGTCTAAAGATTTTGTACTCTGATATTGTTATCTGTGCATATTATGGTTGTAAATTTCTGCCAGTTGCCGAAAATTCTTGTACAAAAAAGTCGGTTCTAGGCACGGCTAGGTTATAAAAGGTGATTAACTTACGGGAAGTCTAATCTTTTTGTAAGAATAATCCTGGAATCATTGTACACCTTTACCTTACGGTGTTAAATATAATAAGCTGAAAGTACAAGTGCAACAACCCATAAGGGTTATCGATATCGATTGTGCACATGTTTACTAGTTAATTGTATCGTCGTAATTGTACAGGAGCCGTGCGGGAGCGTCGTTGGATGATCGCTTCAGGGCATCAGAGGACGCGGGCGGTGTTCGCTTGACGGTCTCCGCTGCTCGCACTGGCGACAGTGGCATTTATACACTGCAAGTGAGTTCGACTCTTTGTCTTATGATAAATATTTAAACTAGTCACCATTATATTCATCATTTCACTGGTCATAAGTACGTAATCGTTCGATTGCATGAAAATCACCTTCAAACTATCCTATCAGTTCACAGATGAAGATGAACTACCCATTATACTTTAAATAGTTCCGTATCCAGAAAAACCTGTCGTTTTCACGATGTTTCTCTGTTTCGCGCTTAGATGATCTTTGCTTAATGTTTTTTTGTGTTTGGAATTATGACGTAGGCCAGCAATGCTGCCGGCAAGGACACACGCCGCCTGCGACTGGAGGTATCAGCAGAGGAGACGCCCAGCGGCGACGACCCGCCGACCTTCCTGCGACGTCTGCAAGACCTCACTGTCAAGGTCGGCACACGGACTCGTTTCCTCGTCGAAATCGTCAGCTCCACTGAATGCAAGGTAATAAAGTCTTCAATTCTTTACGTCACTTAATGTTAATATTGACAACGCTGCTTTTCATTTTAATTTAGACCAGTTAGAAAAGTCACAGTAAAGAGAATTTGGCTTGTGTGAAGAACCTACTTTATAGTTAAGTTTATCATTAAAAATGCTAGCCCAATGACCTCTGATACTATAGTTATCGTATGTACTGAAATATCTTAATCTTGAATTATTTCTTAATGTCATCTGTTACGTAAAATTCCGTGGTGTAGGTGCTAGAAATATCGAATGCGTGCTCGAAATAGAATTGCCTCTGACAAATATTCCAATATAACCTCAAACATAATATTGTTGTTTATATCTGCACGCGATTTCTGCAATTTATTTTCTTATTATTTATTTCTATTATTTATCTTCGCTTACTCATCGCGCTTGCGCTTGTATTCAGAACTCAATCTAAACTCACATGATGTTCTCTTAGATAAACCCGACCTAAAAAAATCAGTGTTGTTCATAATATAATACTTGTAAATTAATAGTAGCTTTGTTTTTTTGACACAGGGTAAGTAGAAAGTGCACGGAATACATGATTATGGGCTATAGAGAGATTAGTTTCACCCACTGTATAGTAAAATGGGAAGTGCGTCCCGGAGGCCTAATTTAGTCCTCTTTCCCTTCCCACCCCTTTCTTATAAGGAAAGGATGGGAAGTGGAAGTGGACTTGGGATGAGAGGATGCATGGAAAGGGAAAATATTTTCTTTCTGTGCATCCTCTCCTCCGTCGATTAAAGGTAGGCAACGCATATGCAATTGCGTATGTCTATGGGCAACGGTCACTTCGCTACTTCAGCGATTTCAGGTGGCCGGTCGCTTGTTTGCTACCTTTTGATACAAAAAAAAATCATTGAGAAAGTTAATTTACTGAATGTAGGAGGACCTTGAATATCTTCGGAATGCGTACACCGCAGCGCCGTCAATGACATAATTTTTCTATTTTAAATGCGCTCCAAGACGTATTTTTAATGTGTTATATTTCACTACATTTATAAAATCGTTTTTATTGTAAACATAATCTAAATAAACAATATTTTTTTAAATATCGTTATTGTAAAATAATGTTTTGAAGTACTGAATAGTTTTGCGTAGGTGTGAAACTTAATATTTTTAGAATAGTTTAAAATTATTCTTTGTTATTTCAATTCGTTTTTTTTATACTTACTGATAATAAACAACTAAAAAATAATCTAACACATAAGTACTGCAAATAAAAAGTACTGCAAATTTATTTAAATATAAGTATTTTAATAAAAAGGAAAAATTACATTTCAAAGGGTTATCAAGGAGAGATCTTGTTGTAGTAGTGTATGAGAATGTTATTCAAAGACAATGAGAGAGAAGGAATAGAGGATTTAGACAGTGGAAACTCATCCTTACAGGTGACATGGTACCGGAACGAGCGGCGGCTGATGGAGGCGGAACGCGTGTCACTGGTTCGCGATGGCAACTTCTGGTGCGCGGACGTGGCCGCGGTGAGCGTGGATGACGCGGGTCGTTGGACTTGCACCGCAGAAAACATCGGCGGAAGAGCCAGCTGCTCAGCGCATCTTAATGTACTTGGTTAGTGTTAAAGTGCTGAAGAGAATGGTTTTGCGATACCTACATTTGTACACCTATACGTTTCGATAGTTTCCATGCCTCCTCGTCAAATTGATTATAAGCAAATATATCTACCTACATACATCTTCCTCTTCGTCCATAACAGTGACTTTAAAACAGTTGCTAATAGCATCAACGTATTAATGTTTTCAGTACCAAAGGCATATAAGCGGCCAGAGTTCGTGGAGGAGCTGCGTGCCGTACTTACTGAACAGGGCACTGTTTCGTTGGAGTGCAAGGTTGTGGGGGTACCAACACCGATCCTGCGCTGGTTCAAGGTGAATCATTTATCTTTTTTCTTTTGAACCTTTTAGAATTCATTTTCGATAAACACCAACATTGCATAGACATAGATGTTATCTGTCAAGCCTCAATTCAGACAGACAGACTGCATTGTCATAGTTACGATTGTTGCTAAGACTGTGTTTTTTTCTTCAACTTATACAGGACAGCCGCGAGATCAAGGCCGGTGATGTGTTCGCCCTCACTGCTAATGCGGAGGATCCAACTTCGCTTGGCACATACACATGTGAAGCTGTGAACTGCATGGGTCGCGCCTATTCATCCTCAAAGGTGCACGTCATCGGCCGCGGATCAAGAGATGGATCTCTTCGACCTGGCCAATCTGGGTAAGATGTTTTTATCGTTTTTTTACAAGTCCCTTTTATGTGTGTGTTGCCAGTGTGTTTTCAAGTACATTAGATACTTTTTAAATGTTTTAAACTTTATTGTTAACTCAAGATGGGTATCAGGTGGGCCCATTGCCAGATAGCAAGTGCACAGGTGTATCTACTCCAATATATGTATCTTGGTGATTTATATTAACTTATTCGTCATTTTCACAGGGGTGTTTCCCCAGAACCGCCTCTGATATTTACAAAAGAGCTGGAGGCACAATCGGTGAAGATTTGTGATCCCTTGACCTTGAGTTGCCACATCGTCGTCCCGCCTTGGCCCCGGAGTGTTGTCTGGTACAACAAGGAAGGCAAAATAGAACCAAACGAAAGGTATTCTATCATTTTAGCTCAATTTACAAATTGTTTCTCTTCCCTCGCTATTGCAATAAGAGTTAAGTAATTAAGTGGTTTCGAAATATGACAAATTAGTCATGTCTTCATAGTGGCAGATCTCTTTAGACAAGATTGTTGTATGAACTGTTTTTATGGCTTTATGGCAGATACCATGTGACAGAGGACGGCGTAGGGGGCTACTTAGTGGAGGTTACCAGTTCGGAATGGCGAGACGAAGGGGAGTGGAAGTGTGTTGCGACAAGTGCTGGTGGACGTCTCGGCATCACTACGTGCTATGTCACTATGGAAGGTAAGAGATATGCTCATATACAGTACATTTTCTTTCTAACTTAGAGGCAACAACAATATAAAGGACTTAATAGTCTTTGAATAGATGCAACTGATACTTTATACTTATACGTCTTTTATTATACGTATTTTATCTATCTTTGTAACCTAACTTTTCACATTTCTATTACAGTACCAAAGAATTTCCGTAAGCCTAGATTTATGGAAAATTTACAAGCCATACTCACTGAAGAAGGCCTAGTATCCTTCGAATGCAAAGTTGTTGGTTTCCCAACACCAGTTTTAAGTTGGTTTAAGGATGGTCAAGAATTAAAGCCAGGTGATGTATACCAGCTCACTGGTACCAATTCCTTAGGCTCTTATTGTTGTATAGCCAGAAATTGTATGGGACAAGCCAGTAGCTCTGCGGAACTGACTGTAGAAGATATACAGAACCAGTTAAATGAAGAAGAGAAGTTGCAATTGTTCTCGAAAAATCAGGCACCGAAATTTCTCCTAGGTCTTAAAAGTGTGGAAGCAAGAATCGATGAACCATTCCGTTTTACAGTTAAAGGTAGTTCTATTCATTATTTTTATACTTAGCGATAATAAACGTATGGGTAGTTTTTAGTACATGAGTTGTTTTATTAATATTGTTACTTGAATTGTTTTCTTCGAAAATTACCTATTTTATACTAAACATTTGTTACTTTATATATTAGAAATATCTATCGAGTAACATATTTTTTTTATTTGGAACGAGCATTATAATCATGTATCGAAATTTTTATTCTATACTTCTACTATTTTTGACAAATCACTGACACACCATTTCTCCAAATTTCAGTTGCCATTCCGCCTGAGCCATCGGTCCTATGGTATAGAGATGATCAACCCGTCGATGATTCACCGCGTTGTCACCTTGATAAAGAAGAGAAGGGTGGATTCTTTCTTGATATACGAAATCTTGAATTTTTAGATCAGGCAGAATGGAAGTGTGTTGCTATCAATGACTTTGGCCATAGTGTTACCTCGTGCTTTTTAAAGTTGATAATTCCACGTCATTATAAAAAACCACGATTCCTAGAAAATTTACAAGCAATTTTATCTGATGAAGGAGCAGTCAATTTAGAATGTAAAGTGATTGGTGTTCCACAACCTGTATTAAAGTGGTACAAAGATGGAGAAGAATTAAAACCTGGCGATATTCATAGAATAATATCAGGTCAAGATGGTACCTGTTGCTTAGGTACTTATACTTGTGAAGCACAAAATTGCATGGGCATCGCAGCCAGTTCGGCTTCCCTCCTCGGTTTTGACGATTCGATGAAAATTAAAAGCAAAAAGAAAATAGAAGAACAGAAATTGCAAAGAAATTTGTCACTTAGTACTATTCACGAAGAAAGGACATCACAAATGTACGATACACCTGTGGGGGATATAACTTTAGACGATAAAGGAGAAGTTTCATTTTCATTTGACGGAAAAGAAGTATCAGTTTCATTGTATGAGACACCTGATTTGACGGAAGAAGAAGCATTACAAATTGTTGAAATGTACGCAGATCAATTATCTGAAAACATCACAGAGCATAACGTTGTTGAATTACCTCCATTAAGGTTTGTGAAAGAAACATCCAATTCTGGTAATTTACTAATGGAAGCGATAATAATTGACGTCTCACCGGAATATTTTGCGTCACCTGAAGAAGATCTAAGGACAGAAGCGGATATTGAAGACATTTCTATTGCCGATGAAAACGCACCATCCCAACTTTCTTTCGATCAAGAACAAGAAGAAAAAATTTTACCCGTCATGTCTGATGATAAATACGAAATTTCTCATAAATTAAATAGAAAAAAGTCTGATTCGCAGAGAAGTGCTGATGAGTATTTTAGTTTATCTCGCGAACATTCCTTATCTGAAGAAAAAAGAGATGAAGATACAGAAATAATATCTGAAAGTGACTTACTTAGTTTTGCAAGTGCCCACAGTTCAGGAAAACCAAAAACGAAAATTGATAAAGTATCCCCTGAAGATGCCAATGAGGCATTAGAAGATAAGAATGTCCCTAGGACAAAATCGGAAAGAAAAATTAGTGACGGTTCTAGGAAATCAAGTACGGAAAGCGAAAAATCGTTAAATAAACATAGAGAAGACATGATAGAAAAGCAGATAAATCCTATGGAACAAACAATACCCAAAATTAAGTTAAAAGAAACTGTTATTAGCATAAGTACATCTGTTGATATTTTGGTTAAAGAAATACAAAAACTGGAAAATGAAATCATCTTAAAATCAGAATTTATGTCTTCTGTCATTACAGCATCAAAGAGTGTTGAAATTATAAATAGCGTACTATCGCCCTTATCTGAAATTAATAGGATAATTAACGAACTTAAAGTGTGTTTAATGGAAGCGAATGAAGTTAATTCTACGCTATTTTATAATGTTTTACAATCTTTGAAATCTCTGCAACAGGCACTTACCATTATTGAAAAATGTATTGACGTTGAGAGCGAGAATAGAACTCTTGTAAAGAAAACATGTGTGTTACTAATTGAAAAATGTAGCAATCAATTTCAAGATCTTATGATGCTAATGAAGTTAATAAAAACAAATGGCCATGGCATGGTTGATAATAAGGTATTGTTTGACATTGATTCAATATCTAACGAAATTATTACTATTGTTAATTTTACGGCAGGGACAATAAAAACAAATAATTTGCTTATTGAGGCTGATAAACTACAAGCCGAAGAATTATCTGTTGAAGCGAAACATTTAAGAGACACTCAAAAGGGTATACAAGAACTTAAGAGACCGCTTACTTCCTTGCTAAACATTGTAAAAAATGCAGAAGCAGAAACATCGAAAGAGGTTCCGTTTATACATAATAGTTCGGTCATACTTGCTGATATGTCGGAATCAATTCAGGATTTGCAATGTGCGCTAGAACAGATCGAGGTATTGTCAGTTAAAGAAAACTCAATACCTTTGAACAAATATAACACAGAAATTATAAACTCTGTTTTGAATCCCGTACTTGAATTAAGAAATTCTTTTGAACAACTATCTACAGAAAGTAAACATATACAAGATAAATCTATGTTAAACCAAAAATTAATCTCTGTTAAAAGTAATATTAATGACATATTTTCACATTTAAGTAACATTGAAGAAAGTGTAGGAGCTTTTGATATTTTGCAAAACGACAATAAACTAGAGACACTACAAAAAATGGCCCATATTTTAATATTATTGGAGAGTAATTTAACAATTTTAGACCACGTGCCTTCTGTAAAAGAAAATTTGAGTCTATTACATAAAAAACTAACAAAAATTTTAGAAAACGTCATTGAAAGTAATGAGGCAAAGAAATATTATGATTTCGTAGAAATTTGTGACGTTATAAAAGGAATTAATAATTATATTCAAAATGATGACTCTCATTCAAATCTCAGTTTGGTCAGTGTTAGCAATGCACTTAATATTATCAAAGATTGCCTAGTCAGAAATGTTTTTGATCCAGATTTAAATAAATCTGTAATTACTATCATATCTGAAGTACAAATATCCATTCAAGAAATAATAAATCAAGAAGAACATGAAACTTTTAGCTATGATTTCGAATATTTACAGCATAAATCAGAACATGCAACTGATGGAAGTAAAGCAAACAATGTAATGGAACATATAGATCAGACTCTAGCAGTTATTGCTACAGTTGTCTCCTATGAATCATTGAAGGACCAAAATGCAGTTCTCTTGCAACCGTTGGAAAGCGTTATTCCCATTTTAGAAGAACTTAAGAATGTTGTAGCTTCTTTCAGCTTAGGTGGAATAGAACGCGAAGAACATGTGTCTGAAATTACAGAGGTAACATCTCAATCAGTGGAAATGTTAGCTAAGCCCCTTTTTGAGATGAATCGACATCTGTCAGTTCTTAGTGAAATCATATTGGAAGACCACGAAAGCATAAAAGGAAACCATCAACCACTTTCACAATTTGCTCAAGCTTTAAGCGAATTATGTGAGACTTTAGAAATCGTACAACACGACATTATTTCACAATTTGGTGAACATCCTCATCGTTCGTTTTCTTTTGATTTTGCTGAAACTGTTCAAAGTTTACATAGTGCCATCTTGATGATACAAAATAATATCGAGTTAGAAGTTCCTGATGAACTATCAACTTTGGAAGATATATCAGGTTTAAAAACTACAGCAGATACGGTACAGTCAGATCACTTGGCAATCCCAATTATTGAACATAAGGAAATACAGGAGATTTTAGAGCTAACTACAGAATTAACTCCAAAGACTTCCTTGGCCCACATTCTAAATGTGTTAAATAAACATATAGAAATATTGCAAAATCCAGAGAGAGAGGAAATTATAGAAAAAATATCTAAAAGTAAATTGCCTCCCAGATTATCACTTACTACAGAATTGGCTAATTTACAACTAGGAATTCAAGAAATTCTACATCCAACGATGTCAAAAAGTTTAGAAAATATTTTTGCTATAACAACTATCACTGAAATAGGTTCACTATCTGAATCAATGATTGCAGTACAACAGATATTATCACAAATTACTACTGAAAACATTCCAATTTTAGAAGATATTGTAGATATTTCATCGGACTTAACACATTCCGTTAACCTATCCATTGCAGAACTCAAAGAACACCTCGATAAGTGTATAGAAGTAATATTACCAGCATTGCACATTACTGACGTATCTATTAAAGTATCAAATAATATTGCGACTTTAAAAGAAACGTGTGAACTCTTGTGTGATTTAATAGCTGACGCTAGCGCATCTAATAAGACTTTTAAAGAAAAATTAAAACCTTTAAACTTCTCAACTAAAGAATTATTAGACTCACTAGATGTGTCAAAGAAGATCGACGTCAAAAAAATAAAATACCTCACCGAAGAACTTTACAAAGAAAGTTCATGTGTCGGAGAAGAAATTTTATCTCTTGCACCATTACCAATAAACCAAATGGAAGAAGAAGCTCATTTGCTACAAGTTTTACATGAGTTAGAATCATCTATTTCTATTTTACAACAATATGAATATGTAGGTCTTAGTACACCACAACAAGTTAAGGAAATAGAACCTCAGATACTGTGCGAATTAGGTGATATTTTGATTACCACTTCTAATGTAATGCACTATTGTAAAAATCATTATGAAGATCAAGAAGATATTCAAAATTTTATTGCTATGTGCCAAAATAAATTTATTATCCTCCGTTCATTAATAAATGAAAATTTAACATACAAACGTATCATTAGATTGTATCAAGAATTTATTTTGGTTCATAATTTAGTTAATTTATTCAAAGAAAATATTTTGGTATTGAGAGTGCCTCGTGACCTAGAACAAGTCATGACAGAGTTTCTTGAAAATACAAACAACTTCTTAGATAGAGTACGGATATTTGTTGTAATTATATTAGAAAAGCAAATGGAACTGATATTTGCCACCCCGATGAGAACCCTGACGACCAATTGTGAAAAACTTGTTGAAGACGTCATAGCTGTAGGTTCATCAGATTTAACAAATGTAATAGAAGCATTTTTAAAGGCTAAAGAGATTATTTTGCCAAGTTTGGATAAATTAGACGTTGTTCTTATAAAAGATCTGAATTTAAAAGTATCAAATTATGAAATGGAAGAAAACATTATAAATGCGTGGGAAAAATTTGAGGAAATTTTCCAAAAATACATTTTGATGAACCTAACGAACGCGAAGCAAAAGCTAGAAATAGATAAGGCGAAGCAATGTATTCAAATGTATAATGATCTTAAAGCTTCGAATGGAAGAGCAAAACAATTGATTCTATTGAAAAGTATGGCTGAATGTTCAGAAATTCTGAAGGATATTATTTTAGAAAGTAAACAGTTATTTAGTGTTAAATTACAGAATCAACAATTTCTGGAGAATTCGTTGTCACAGATGTACACAGATCTCTCTATTTTAAGTGAAAAACTAAGAGAATACGAGAAAAAATTGCCTGCAAAAAATTCCGGCGTTTCTTTAGATTCGTACATTTTAAATCTAAATGAAAAGTTTTGTAAATTCATTGTAGAGCATAAACAAACACAGTGCCCAATAACTGTAACAAGTGTCGTTAAATCGTTAATTTTGAAATTATTCGATGAGATTCAAAGTGTAAAAATGCAGTTAAAATCTTTCGAAAGACAATTAATCCCGATGACTGCATCTATCAACAATTTTGTAAATACCTTAGACGAAATTGAAAAACTAATTAATGCTTTAATATATTCACAACAAGCAGATAATATACAAATTCAACAAATAGGTAAGTTGATGAAAAACCAAGGTTCTCAATTGCTAATTGATATACTTTTAAGATTATTTAATTTGAAAAGTTACATTAAAACTTCTAAGCTAACGATGATTTCGAGAAATAAACACTATGATGAGACTAATTTCGTACAAGGAACAATTACCAAAGAGAAATTCTTATTCTATCAATTAAGTAAAATAGATGTTTTAATATTACAGGTAAAATGATGGATCACATCGATGAGTTCGTGTCTAAAGATACCCTAGAAGTTATCAAGGATATAGCGATCTCATCAAATGTAGTCGATGCCGAAAAAGCAGTGAAGTTAGCAACAGAGCTCAAGGAAAATATTTCGGCTATTATGTTATCTCCAGAAATCCATTTATCCGAAGAGACGCTAAAGAAAAATCTAAGCGAAGCAGATGTATCTCTGGCATTTGAACTTCAGCAAGCTTTGTCGGTTGTAATAACGGAAATTAACGAAAAAGCTGAAGAACTGTCTTCACAATTCGACGGTATTAATATGCAACAG